GCGGCGGCGGCCGACCCGCCCCCCGCCTCTCCCTGGGGACGGCGGCACGCAGGCCCGCGCCGCGCTGCAAACATGTCGTCTTTCCCTTTCACTTCCACATTCCCTCATGCCGGAGAGCTGGAGGGAGAGAGGGAAAGCCGGGGAAAGAGGGAGAGATGGCGTCTGGGGGGGGGTCGGGGAAGGGGAGGAAGAGAGGGGGAAGGGAGGGAGGGAGGGAGCGAGCGAAAGAGGGCGAGAGCGAGGAGAGCGCGCGAATGAGAGGGAGAGGGAGAGAGGGAGGAAGAGAGGGAGAGAGACAGGGAGAGAAGCAAAAATGAAAGGAAAGCGCGGCGGCGGCGGAGCGGAGGCCCGGGAGGCGGCGGCGTCTCGCGGGCCCGCACGTGGGTGTCCCGGCGCCCGGCGCGCTCCCCCCGCGCCGGCCCGGGACTCAAAGTTTCACCCCCGCGCCGCGCCGCCCCGCCCCTGCCGCTGCCCACAAACTTTATTCTCCGGGCGGGGGGGGCTGCGGCGCGTCCCCGCCGGCCGGAGGGCTGTCGGGACGCCCTCGAGGGCAGCCGGCTGCCACGCGCAGGGCGTCGCGAGGCCCCCGCCTGCCTGGCGTCGGGGCGCCACGGGCCAGGGACCTGTTGAAGGCGCTCGCCGCCTGGCGGGGTCCCCACGGCCTGTCTTTAGCCTCCCTGGTCTCAGTTCCCCTTCCTTGTCGCCCACTCTCTCCATCTCCTCGCGATCATTTTCCTAATTGGACAGAGCTGTGGGGTGTGATCGTCGGCGGCAGATTAGGGGCCCTGAGGCTGCCAGGTGGGCGCGGGAACCCGGGGACCGACGGGGCAGCCCCTGCGGGCGCGCAGATCCCACAGATCCGGCCCTTGTGCCACCGCCCCCCTAACCGCGGACTTGCCAACTAGTGCGTATCGGCTTTTTTTCCAACTTGCCTTTTAAGATGACTTTTATGGTCGCTGCAACTGCTGCTTCCTTCCAGTCTGAGCTGTAGTTTGGAAAGATTTAAGAGGCCAGGGAGGTGCTTGCGTGGGTTTTAACTAACCTGAAACGGTCATTAATGTATTTCTAAGCTCTGCGATGGTTCGAACCAGGCACAACCGTAGCCTGGGCGCATTTTCACAGGGGCACTGCGAGGTGCTCATCCTTCTCGGTCTGAGCGGTCCAGTGAGGGCCCGTCCTTGTGGCCCACCCGTGAGCTGCCCGAACTGCTAAGGGCCCCGGAGCGCCTTTATTTCTGTGCAAAATGGAAACTCCCAGGCGGCGTAGACCTAGAGGGGACATAACCAGTTCCCGTGGGCGCCTGGGAAATTCACAAAATTCCCCCACAGGTGTGTGGAGAGGGACTTTGCACCCTTGGGGGTCACCCAGCCAACTTTGAAGCTGCTCTTTCAGTCCTGCCTTTGTACACATGTAAGTAAAAACAAAGTTCATTTCTGCCAAGGAGAGGGCCCGGGGCCTGCATCCCTGTGGCGCCTTCACTATGGGCTTTCAAAGGACCTGCTGAGCAGGGTGGAGGAGAGGAAGAAAGCCACCCCTAATTGTCATTAGACATTAGAAAATGTGTTCTTTAGTGTTTGTGATCAAAGCCATGGGTCTGTCTGGTTTTCATTTTTGAGACTTAGTATGGCTGTCCCTTTCTTGTTTGTTTTAAAGCAAATGTTATTTTCTAGAGCTTTGCTGGTGGTTTTGTCAGCTGGCCTTTGGGCCACGTGTCACCCTTTGCCCAGCACCTGCGGGTCTTGGAACAGGACCTCTGATTGATCACCTATAGTTCCAACGGCATTAGTGCTCCAATAACCTGCAGGACTCGGCTTTCCTGCATGAGGGCAGTGTGGGGAGAGCTGCTTTCTCTTGGGTAGGGGGAATTGGACATTTGGGTCACATTTTCTTTCCTCCAGGCTTCCCTGGTTGCCTGCGTGCCCATGGAGGGAGATGTAGTGAGTTGAAGTGGGGGCAGAGGCTCCCTCTTCTCAGAGCAGATTCCTGGGTGAGTTCCTGTCCTGTGGTGTGTGGCCAGCAGACCATTTGTTCTGTACTTGGGTCACTTCCATTCCAAACAGGCATTTCTACAGGGGGGGACTTATTTTAGGCTCGCTGGCTGGAGACGAGAAGACAGACAAGGTCTGGAATGGTTTTCAAGTTGGAGGAAGGGAGGCTAATGGGACCACCAGAGATTTTGCATGCCTTCTATTTTAGGTTTGCCTTGTGGCCCAGAGATATTTCTATCAGAGTTGTGCTTGGAAAGCTCAAATGTGAAGTTAGAAGGTAGTAAATATATAAAGGAGGAGTTGGGTGCATCTCAGAGGATGCTCCTCATCTGGCTTGCTCACCCTCATATCCCAGGGCAGGGGTTCATGTTGTTGAGTTAAGGAATCTGTGAATCAGCTGAGTCTCATGTTAATGGTGGTTGATCCCAGTCCTCAGACTTCAAAGCTGGAAGAGGACCTTAGAGGTTATCTAAAAGAAACTGAGGCATGAGAGAAGCTCCATGCCTGAGATCCCACGGCAAGTAGCAGAGCCAGCACTCCAATGTGAGCTTTCAGAGTCCATTCTCAGTGCTCTTAACAAGGCCACTGCTTCCTCCCTTCCTGCTGGGGAATCCGAATCAGGCTCCATCCAGAGAACATGGCTATGAGAACATGAAACCATGGGCTTATGCTACTTGCATGAGACAGGTAAATTGAGTGCCTTGTTTTCCAGGTGTGTTACACATACTGTTCTGGAGGACTTGGTGGGCCGGCATGACTCCTGGGGGAACCAGGTGCTTCTGGCTGCTTTAACACGTACTTCTTCATAGTCCACCAGTTCAGCAGGGCAGCCATTTAGTGATCAGGATGTTCCCGAGTCACACAGCACTTTTTGATCTGGAATACTTTCTTCATGCTTTGTACTTGTTTGTGATTTATTTAGGATTGGTCCAGGGAGGGGGGTGGGGATGTAAGGAAGGGCCGGAGACCTGAACTGATCTCTCTTTGTAGATCAGATCTCCCACTAGAACGTTAGGTCCTGAGGGTGGATGTCCTTCTTGGTTCATTGCTAAGCCTCTGGGCCTAGAACAGGGCCTGGCACATAGTGGGCCCTGAATAAAGACTTGTTGAAAAAATGTACTGGACGTTAGGAAAAAGATTTTCCTCCTAGAAGGAACCCATGAGTGATACACAGAGGCAGGACAGGGAGGTGATTGATGGGAGCTGCAGAGTTTTGCAGTGAGTCATTGCTTCAGACAAGTGCCAGACAGGTAAGGCAGGAGGGGCTGAGAAGAGAAAATCCGAATGGGGTGGAGCTCTGGGTGGAGACTTGTGTGCAAAACAATAGAGAGGTCTTGAATTGGACTGGATATGGGGAGAAGAATAATAATCCTATATCTTGGGCCAGGCTAGGGTAAGTGCTTTGTGTCTATCATCTCCCTTCGTCCTCGCAGGTGCTAGCTACTGCACTTATTCCCATGTGGCAGATTGGGAAACTGGAGCACGGAGGAGTTGAGGAACTCATCCAAGGGCACAGAGCTGGTATCTGAACCCAGGCAAACTGACTTCAAACTTTGCCTCCCTAGAATGACGATGAGGTCAGACGTCTCTGCCCACACCAAGGAGCTGCGCATTCAGAGCTTTGGAGTTCCTCAAAAGGATGGCAGCAGAAAACCTGGAGAAGAAATTGTTGGTCTGCAGCAGAGTGAGGCGGGTCAGGGAGCGTGCCCTCTGCTTCCTTTGCCAGGGCCTCACAGTGCCTGAAGACTGTAAGGGAATGCTGATTTGGGGGACCTAACTATTCCCCAAGCAGAGTGGCTAGTACCAGATCAGGATTATTCTGCACTTGATAAAGATTTAGGAGATTTTTTTTTTGAGATTGCTTTTCAACTTAAGTTTTAGTTGGCACGTATTTGAAACTGGTAGGAATTTTAAAGCCAGAAATGTCACTGTTGGCCTTGGAGGCCTCCAGAAGCTGTTTTCCACAAATGTAAACCTCACCTTCCTACTCCAGGATGCTGGTCCAGGCTATTCCAGACCACAACAACTACCCTTTTATTGACAGTGCGCTGGTCCCATCCTGGTGGAGCATCCAGTCTCCCTGGGAGACAGACATTAAATTAATAATTACACAAATACTCTTTAATTACAGTTGTTATGAATGCTTCAAAGGAAGAAGTACAGAGGCCATGGGAGCTGATAATCAGAGAGGACAGGGGAAGGGAGGCTTTCCTGAAGAAAGGGCATTTAAACAGCCATGTGAAGGGTGGGTGAAGAAGCTTTAGCCAGGGTGGGACAGTCCATTCACCTTGATGTCAACCCCTGCTACTCTGTATGTGGTTTGTGCACGAGCAGCAGCATCACCTGGGAGCTAGTCAGAAATGCAGAAACTCGGGTCCATCCCAGACCTGCTGAATCTGCATTTTAACAAGATTCCCATGCAGGGTAAGGTCTGAGAAATGCTGATGGAATCCAAGTGCTGAACTGGGAGTTTCTTGGCTTTGCTGTGAGTGTGTTGGGTGACTCGGGCAAGTCACCTCTCTGGGTAACGAGGGCATTAGATCGTCTCACAAGTTCCTCTGGCTTCTCTGAGCTTCGGCTTCTGTTGGTTTGTGCTGTCTTCAAGCGTATCAAGGGTGAGGACACAGCATTGTCCTCTGCGATGTCTTTGGTGGGGCCAGCAGACACTAGTCCATGCTCTGGTCTGACTTCAGTAAACGGCGAAGAGGGGCCAGACCGCCAGAGCTTTGGGGAGGGATCAGAATAGTTCAAAAAAAGCATGTGGAGTTTTGTTGCACAAGATTTGATGTGAAGTGTGAGAAAAACTGGCAGGAATCAAAAGGGCTTTCAGGAAGAAAGGTGTAACATTTCTGCCAAAAAGCGGAACCTAGAACGAGGAAAGGAGGAACCTGAGCGACAGTTCTGTGCATGTGAACATAATACTTGAAGAACTGCCGCAGCATTTCATCCCCCAGATCCTCACATCGCTGTAGGGAGGACCATAGGGCTGAAACCAGGGGTCCCTGACCCCTGCAGTCTGTGGGTGGGCTGCAGTTGCACCTGCACCTGTGTAGAGGGTTACGTGTCTGTGCACTTTTCTGGGGAGAGGACCCATAGCTTTCACCAGCCTCACCAGGGTCTGCGTCCTCCCAGAACTAGGGGCAAATGCCTTTCTTTTTTTTTTTTTGCCGGGGAAGATTTGCCGTAAGCTAACATCTGTTGCTAGTCTTCCTCCTTTTTTCTCCCCCCCCACCCCCGCCAAAGCCCCAGTACATAGTTGTGTATAGTTGTGAATTCTTCTGGTTCTTCTATGTGAGCTGCTGCCACAGCATGGCTACTGACAGACGAGTGGTGTGGTTCCATGCCCGGGAACCAAACCTGGGCCGCCAAAGGGGAGCATGGCGAACTTTAACCACTAGGCCATCAGGGCTAGCTCGCAAATGCCTTTCTTGACTAGTCTCACCCAGCTCTTTTATTATATAGCACTTACTCTGCGCCAGGCACTATTCTCAGCACTTTCCATTTATTAGCTTGTTTAGGTTGAATAACTTTTCAGAAGTCACACACCTAGTAAGTTTCAGAACCAGGATTGGCACCCAGGCAGTCAGGCCCCAGAGTCCCTGCTCACAAAGCCTACCCTAGTAACAGGGCAGATGGAACTGTGGGGGGCTTTTTTTGGTAGAACAGAAACTGAGATTACCAACGCCCCCACTTTACAAGTGAGCATCTCCCAATTGTTCAGGCAGAAAACAGAAAGGATTTTTCCCAAGGAAACATGTTACGAATAGCATCAGGTTGCCCGGCTAGCCCATGAGAGCCTGTATCACTATTGGGCCCAACTCATGCTTGTTTGCAGAGAAAAGAATTACAAAATAAGCCCACTGCAGTACTGCAAGCTAAATTAAAAATTCTAGAATCAGATAGAAGGTGCTTGAAGAATTGCACTGTCAAATAAGGGGGGTGAGGTGGTAGCAGGAAATTGGGGTAGATTCTGAAAGGAGGGATTAAGGGATGTTAGAGGCCAGCGCAGGGCCAAATGTATGTGGAGTCAGCAGCTTCAAAAGGTAAAATGACTGGTTTTTATTACCTACTAATTAATGTGTGTAGCTCGCAGACCTGACCCTTCCCCCAACCCTAGTGCCTCACCCCAAGTACAGAGGCCTTTTGTCTTCTCTTTTATTCATTTCTGTGCTATTTGAATTTTTATCAGTATGTATTATCTTTATAATCTATGTATTTATAAATGGAGTAAAAAGACTATTAGAAGTGAGTTGACCTGTAGGAGAGTTTTGATTCTCTCTTCTACAACCATCATCATAAAGGAGTTTCTGATATTAAGTAAATATGCTCTATTGTGTGCATATTTCGGGCATACTGAGAGAACTGTTGGAAACAGGAGGATTTTCAGTGCAGCCAGAAGCTGAGAATAAGGGATCACATTGT